ATGTGCCACACATTCCTGCTGCGAAAAAAGGCTGCCTATAGGTATCGTATACACTATGATTACTTACCTGTACTTTGTTGTACGTGCCAATCGATGACACTGGATTATCAGAACAAGGTGGGAAAACATTGCCTTCGTTGCAAAAGGCAAATACCGGGCAATCCTCTCTAAAGTGTCACTTTATTCATATTTTTGTACTAGTCAAGATCGATGGCATCCTACTGAAAAGCCAGCCATTAGTAAACTGCGTCACAGACTGAGGTAGTGGCGGGAACAAGCTATGATCACATGACCAAGCGGATTGGACAAAACCATTATTTGACTGGGGTCTATATGATGTGAAGTACATAACTTGTGAATCAATATCAGTAATTGTACAGAGAATTGATCATTTGAAGTCGCTTATAGCGTGTTATTTATACATCTAGCTCATTACTGATGCACTTTTACTAAGAACAAAATATCAGACCATGACTGAATTATGCATCTTTTCAAAATATTACCTAAACATTTGGTACTGTCTGGAATATATTGAGGTGTGTAGTGTTTTTATAGAAATAATTACAACTGTATAGGATGTGTGTGTATATAGGACATGTACGTGACGTTCCTGCAACTGGCGTTTTGACCAAAGTTCAACATAATCAAGTTAATAAAGCACTGGTTCAACAAACTTACTGACAAATGACCCATGAACTTGAATAACTGTATTCCCATTCAGTAGAACATTGGATTATAGTTCTGTAGTTGTATGCAATAATTAACTGCTGACAAAGTCGACCGCATTGGGACAGAGGTTCTGACGGATATTCTCCCAAACGTTTGATATGATTGAGAAATGTATCCTCCTGGGAGTCCGTAGATCTGTCGTCCGTTGGTTGTGTGACTTTGTCAGCAACCGCGCCCAATGTGTGCGTTACAACCAGGCACTCTCAGAGTACAAGGTCCTGAGTGGAGCTCTCCCTCAAGGAACTAAACTCGGCCCCATTGTTTTTCATGATTTGGGTGAAAAAATCAAGTGCTGGAAATAATTATGTGGATGACTTGACACTTGCTAAAAATCGCTCGAGTCTCCAACCTAGTGGGCTGCACGTAGCTTCTTGAAGAATTGACTGAACTGACTGACACCAACAAGCCAAACCTGAATCCCTCAAAGTACCTAGACATCCAAACATGTCACAAAACTAACCCCACCACACGAGTTGAGCGTTGCGTGAGTCCCTCTGAACCTTGTATCCGAGGCAAAGATACTTGGAGTCTGGCTACTGAACGACCTTCGACGGGAGAAAAATATCAAAGAAATGTTCAAGAAAGCCAATCAAAAATTGTCTATGCTCCGCATGCTCAAAAGGTTTGGATTCAATGATGATGATTGATCATATCAATAATTTACACGTTATGTGATGCCTGCTGTTGAATATGCAGATGTTACTTGGTCTTCCTCCATTACTGCTGCCCAGAAGAAAACTCTGGAGCACCTGCTAAAACGTGCATGCAGAACCATTTTGTCACAGCGCTCATATGCGGATGCAATGTTGCTCTGCGGGCTTGAGTCTCTTGCTGATAGGAGGGAGAATCATTGTCTTAGGTTTGCCGAAGGACTTGCCAATTCAGAACGTACAAATGAGTTCCTCCCTCCTACAAGATGGGAGTCTTACGCCCGCAATTTGCGTAATGCACATCATGCATTATTACCACTTAACTTACGCACCAGAAAATCTCGATTCATAAACATTCCAATACCCTATTTTATCAGCTTGCTGAACAAGTAGAATTTCTAGCTCGGTGAGCAGCTTTTTTTGAAAAAAAATCCTTATCATGATTAGAGCCACCATAACTCTGTGCAAGATTATCACTTGTTTTTTTCCTGTTTCTTGACCAAACTTTACCAGTTTTTATCTATTTTTTTTTCATCTTGTTCTCCTTAATTCAGCTGTAGTCAATATTTCTTTTCATGTAATTTGACATTTTTAGATATGCGGAATTCAGTCTCTAGCAGACTGGAGGGAGAGTCATTGTCTCAGGTTTGGCGAAGGGCTTGACTGTTTGTTTGAAAAATAAAAGGGCAATCTTAGCCTATATTGGCACTATATTAAAATACTGATGAATTTCAAAGGCGATTATAACACTGATTAACCTGTTCATTTTTATTTCTGTGAAACGCCTTGAGCGTCAATTTTGACGGATTTGGCGCTATACAAGAATTAGATATTATTATTTATTATTATTAATTCCAAACAACTAAAATTTGAAACACACACAATTTAGAATGTACAATTACGTCGATGTATAAGGCACGTCTGGTCACTTTAATACCTGACATGGACATTGCAAATGTATAAGGGACTACCGCTAAAACTGAGATGTAATTAGCTTCAACTGCCACGAAATCACAAATATTTTATAATTTAACTTGAAACAGGATTGGAACCTAAAATAGGTGTTCAGACAGTTCAAAAATAAACATCGTCATCAAATTACCGGCTGTTGGCTCACTTTTGGAAAGTTTTGTTGAGTAATGTTTGTCAAAAATAGATTAAAATGCGCTTAACCATTTATCACTACACCGATTTAACAACAATTGGTTTTGATATTTTGTTGTTAGGATTGAATATATCATTATGTCTAGCTCGTACAACCAATAAAAACTAGTTATTTCAGCGAATTTACAAGCAAAAAATTGCAAGATTTGGGTAACCTATGTGTTATTGCCAACCGTACTTTTATAAAGGATTACGCGATTATCGTCCAGTCGTCGACCGCCCTCTATTGTCGACAAAATCTTTATCGGAGAGGGGGAGAGAGATTTGTCTACAACTGATAATCATATTTGTGTGTATCTCCCGCCCCCTTTTAATTCACTTGGGGGGAGGGGGCTCGTAACATACTTTCAACGGGGGCGCTGTTTAAATCCAACGATTTTAAACACTATATCACAGAATAATGTACATATACCCGTAACCACGCTGGCTTTGTGCTATTTCGTATTTCGTGCAAAGGCGGACATTATTACTAGCAAAAAAATATTTTGTCGGAGCGGGGGGGGGGTTCACTTTTTTTCATGAATTTCTATGGCGTTTTTTGCCAGAGCCTTTATCCGCGCCTGGGAAAGTGAATATACGAGAAACATCTTTCGAAACTTAATTTCGCCCTACTTATCCTGAATATCGTGAGGGGACTAATCATCAGAAAGCATTTCTTCTCAATCACGATCATCAATGAGTGGAAACTTTTTCCTGCTGAAGTTGTGAAGGCTAGATCAACTAATCTATTCAAGAACAAGGATAAAGGGTCCAAAAGGCTTGAGCCTATTACTCACCAACCTGCGTGTACGTGTGTAAGTGTGTATTGTTAATGTTCAAAGCAACTTCTATAGATGAAGGATATATTTAAAAGCTGCTTGAAAAGAGTTGAGTCTTTGAGCATACTTAAACTCTCTTTTTTTATGAGGTAAACAAATATATAATTTTTTTTGCATGATGTCCAGAAACAGAACTGCCCCCCTTGCTTTAATTGTTTTAAGCACTGCCAGCAGGGATGGATTTGAAGACGTATATAAGGCACCTAGAAGGGTCGTAACGAATTAACAAATCAGAATTATATACCAGGGGCAGAACCATGTAAACAATGAAAAACAAGCAGAAGTAATTTGAAATGGCGAGAAAGCAACACTGGAGGTATGTGACCTTTACGACTTGCTATTAAAGCAGGCTGCTGTGTTCTGTAGTTTTTGTAATCGTGCAAGCTGTGTTTGGTCTTAAGTTCGTTGTAAAAGTCTAATAAAGCGGGATGATGTGAGGGCGTGGCATGAACATTAACTTCAGAGGTTGATTAACGTGTGATTGATTGATTAATAGGTTTCGCGAGTGGTACGGTATAGATTTACAAATATCAGATACACGGTTATGTAGAGTACATATGGAAATGAACAGCGCCCCTAGCGCCAGATGCGGTCAAGCGTCTGACCCCCCCCCCCTTGCCCTTTGTTGAATATACCCTTGAGTATTGGAAACACTGACTGCTAGACCCCTTCTCAGTTTAGAAGAAATACAAGGGTAGACATTGTATTAAATTGAAACTCAAAAAATGAAATTTCATTTCGGCAACAAAGCACTAACAATGCAAAAACCCGTTACAAACGCTTTATTCAAAACCACCATTTTTTCAATCACGATTAAAATTCATCTTAACTTAATTGTAAGGACAGAGAAATCAGCTTTAAAACAAACGACACCACAACATAAATTCAAAACTTGGCGTGTTTTTATAATTATGGAATATTTTATCTCTTGATAACCTCGAAAGTTAATTCCTTTATAGCGTTGCCGTAAAATGTGTAAGTCAGCATAACCCGATACCCTTTTCATCAAATACAAGCACTAAAAAATATTCCAACACCTTTATAATCTTAACATATCTTTCTGTCAGGCCAACTATTTTTTTTCTACATTTCATCCTAACACTACATAAGCAACAACCAGTATATCATAACTCAACCCACGTATTCCTCATACTTTTCGCCTTTCGTTTCTTTTTTGTACGTGAAAATCCTTTAACTTTACTTACGACTAAAAACATTTCTAATTTTTTAACTGCTCAAAACCCGAAACCTAAACATTTTCATCACACAGAAACAACAAATTCCAGCGTTTTCTTTTATCGAGAAAATTTAATTGTGAGGTGCAGAGGGAGCTTAATGTTTGTGGAATAATTCGTAAATGACCATTACAAATAAAATAAGTTTGAATTATTTTGTGATCAAACAGCACATATTTCCTTGAATACGGTCATTTTGCTCGTTGCTTTAGTTGCTTTAGTTGCTTATCGTATAGTTGGATATCGTTGCTTTAATATATCTGGCAGATTTAACGTGACAAAACTGCATGCGTATAATTAAGCCCTCATTCCTGAATGGATACGCCTATAGCAAGGCCTAGTTGATTGCAAATATTTGCAATGTTTGTTTTTATAATCATTTTGAGGAAAATATCGAATGATTCCTTATTCTGCGGCATGTCTAGTTTGCCTAAACCGGACGGTCTAGCACCTTGACGTTGACCGTGGGTATGGTCTTGATGTTGGCCAGGTTGTTGCGGCGCCCGTCCACGAAGGTCTCAATGACACGGATCTTCTCCAAGTCAAACGGGTCCACGTCGTAAGGGTTGTCAGAGAGAATCACCAGGTCGGCCTTCTTGCCAGGCTTGATACTTCCTACCTTCTGGTCCAGGTGGAGCTGCCAGGCCGCGTTGACGGTGTAGGACTTGAGAACTTCGTGGATGGACACGCGGTACTCCGGGCCGTAAGGAGTGGTAGGGTCATCCCTGGTGCAACGGGTGATGGCTGTCTTCATGTTGGCGAAAGGGTTGGCTTCTCCGGGGAAGGTCGGATGATCCTGTGAAGATGAAGAATATAAATTTCCGATCATTGTTTCTACCGTTATATCTTGAAGTGACTCTTTAATATTGTATTTTAATCCCCAGAAAATCCGTTCCCCCAAGTTATGGCCAGCAGATCCTCCCCTCCCCCCTTCTGATCTCCGAAATACAATTGCTGGTTTTAATTGAATTGTCCGACAGTGCTTTGTATGAATCAAGAACAAATATTTTTCGGTGCCCCGCGTCGAATGTTGACATTTTGCGCTGATGCTCATGATGTTTTATGTTATTGGATTCAAAACGGCAGATACATTTAGTCCGGCAAGATACCTTCTTAAACATATCAGACTCGTCACTAAAACAAAAGAAGGCGTAGCGATCATATCAGTAAAAAGGTATAAGGGGTCTGTTCAAAGCCCTTTAGGGGGTAAATAAAGAGCCGCCATCTACCTGATGAATGGTCCAAGTAATGCCATTCTTGGTTGCCTCAGACAGCGGAGTCCAGCGGTTGACTCGCTCACCAAAGATGTCAGTCTTGTAGACCAAGGCGTAGAAGCGGAGATGGTCCACGAAGAAAGAAAGTGCCAGATTGATCTTGCCAGCGCGTTCAATCTGGTCCACGGTCATCAAGCCAAGATGCTCCATGCGATGACGGTTGTTCTGATTCGGGAACTGGTTCAGGACCTAAAGGGAACATGATAGCTGGATAGTGAGTGATTGAAATCGGTACCAGATTGATCTCTCTGTCCTTTTACCAACATTTTTAAAAAGTGAGAGTCTCCTTGAATATGACAAACCGATAGAGTTTCGTAGTCTTCTGAAATGTCAGATTTCAGAACTGTAATTGGGAATGTGATATTCAAGTCAATCACGGGTCAAGTCACAAGGCAATCGCAAGACAAAACACAAGGTGTGTCACCAGAAGGACATGGACAAAGTTGACAATGACAAAGGAATGTATTTGTCATGCACAGCTGATTTGCATAGCTTATTTCTTGACTTGCGAAGTCTTGTAAATAATTCACTTGCGAAAACCTGTGATGACTTGTGACTGACTTTCCAAAACTTGAATACAATTCTGCGGAGGAGTATTTATTTTAGTTTCACCACAAAGTACGGGTCTTTCCCATTTATAGGAAATATCTTGATGTGCCCAATCATACTTCACTCACCTGCTCATACACCTTCAACACCTGTTCAGAGCTCCTCTCGCCGTGGCAGTGGATCGCCATCTGCTTCCCGTCCTGGTGATGTCTCTTGATGGTATCCAGGAGAGCATCGTCCTCCATGTTCAAGGTGCCGTAGCCAGGTGCCTTGGGGAACCCCAGGGTTTCAGTCAGCGGGGTGTACATGAAGGGTTCGCGGGTAGCGCATGTGCCGCAGTGCGGGGAGCCATCAGCAACCAACTTCAAGCCAACTTCCCACAGACGGGAGCTGTAGTTGCCAACTCCCCCGTCGTAGTTTTTCACGACGCTCCTGCCTTTCTTGGGTGGTGCGGGCTGAACGCGCCCCAGCTGGCTGCAGCATCTTACCTTCGGCGGAGGGGGAGCTGATTGGGGCTGATGCACCTCTTCGTCTGTCTGCGCATGGGTCATTTTGTACAGACCTGTCAAATGATTTAGAAACACTCCTCTAAGTCAAAACTGTAATTTTGTCATCCATAAACATCGAAGCATTACGATAACCTCATGGCTTACAAATTAGAGTGTCCTTGATATAACGTGCCAACAGTAATTAAGAAACATAAGTGAGTCAAAACAATTATTTCTGTCTATTACGTAACCATTAAAGAGTGCCCGAGTTGATGAACCCTCGTATTGGGACCTTGGAATGTATGAAACCCGTGAAGGAATGGATATCTTAGTACAGGACAAGGTGCATGCGCGAATCGGTTCACGCCCGTATGGTATACGAAGTATACGCATGACAACCTTTCCCCGAATTTCTACAAACTGTGCGCAGCATCATGAGGGAACTCGGAACGGCAGCAACGGTGCTCAGATGACATTCTGTTTCATATGAATTATAATTATGTTCAATCCTCTACACTCTTGTTCACTGTTGAGGGGTATTAAAGCTGATTACTCACCCAGGCGGACAGGGAAGTCTGGAGCATCAGCACAAGTCTTGAGAATCGCATCCATCTCGGGAGAAGGCATGTAGGCCAGATCAGTCACGGTGGTCAGCCCGGCTGAGGCGTAGGCTCTCCACTGATCATAGAAGCCCTGCATCACGAGCTCCTCGTCGGGAAGTGGGGCTCGACCCATGACCAGCATGATGGCCGGCTCCTCGAAGAGCTGCCCGGTGGGCCAGCCCTCGGCATCCAGGACCACGGTACCTCCAGATGGACTAGGGTAATTCTGGCCAATCTGGGGGGAAATGTTTATAATTATAAAACTTTGCATTATGGTACCGTTTTTGGCAAACTCTCCCTTGGTCCACGGGGCATTTTGGTCATAAGCCCCGTCTATCTTAGGTTTGTGTACTTTTCTCACACAGTTCATGTGACGAGTCTGACCGACTTACCGTGGTCACCTGATCACAAGTCGTGATCTAATTGGTCAATGCGCAATGTTTGATTGACAAGCACGGAAGGTCCATGTTGCTGGAAGGTTTCTAAGCATGAACTACACGCAATTTCAGTTTTAGCTGCCATTTTATAAACCTAGTCCCCTATTCAGATTGGAGTTCTGGAGTAGCGTGGAACTAAAAGTAGCCGACCCAATTAGATTTAAAAACGAATGTATAGAGTCCCATGTTAGCTAAACCCAAAATTTGGCTTTGTTTCAGAGTCAAAACTGACACTTTTCTGGCTCAAAATGAATATTCTGTTTCTGCTGGGTCATTTGATCCGGAAACATTAGCAAAAGTGTCGTGTTAACCAAGAAATGTGTCAATCCAGATAGAATTGTGGTTCATATCTAGCTGACCAGGGATTCTTGAGAGTATAAGATCGGTAAGTGGAGGAGCAAATGGAAACAAAACATAGGTCACTTACAGGTGGCTCAGGTGCCGCAAGAGCGGGACTGTTGACCCAGGCCACGTGACCGCTCTGACCAACCACGACGATCGGAATGGTGGAGGAGAAGTTGGCATCCAGGAAGTCGGCGCTGAGAGTGGGCAGGTCGGAGATGAGCTCAGGGTCCCAGCCGAAGAAGATGGCCCAGTCCTTGTTGTTGGGATCTGCGTCCAGCTCGCTGATTCTGTTCACCATGACGGTGTGAATGTCATCATAGCACCTGGGGTTTAGAATGGGTAAAGTCAAATAGAATCCAGATTCCGGGTCAATCTGACCATTGACTTTTTTTTAGTATAGTGCAAAATAGCTGAAAGTATGTGTCGCAAGAATACCGTATCCAATTTTTTAAACAAGTCTGACATCATGGTCTTTTGCCACAGTCTTTTGACTTTTCCTAGTCAATATGACCCGAAAGGCAGTCATCTGTGAGCTGGAAAAGAGTCATTTTGACCCCAAATAGAACGGTTGGCTGAAATAGGTGTCGCATGACTACAATATGCTATTTTGTAAAGGAATATGACATCATGGTCTTTTGCCACAGTCTTTTACTTTTCCTCGTCAAAATGATGACCCAAAAAGCAGTCATCTGTGAGCCGCAAGAGAGTCATTTTTACTCCAAATAGAACATTTTTGCTGAAGTAGGTGTCGCAAGACTACAATATCCAATTTTGTAAACAATATGACATCATGGTCTTTTTGCCACAGCAGCGTGCCAAATGTCATAATGAAGCAGTAATGCGATGGCCTTCTCGATGATGACGTACGCTGGATCGTGCACATTCGCCATCCTTACCCCCCCCCAACCACGCCCACAATAAAATCCTTTACCTGTAATTCAGGGCACTGATGTTGATGTACTGGCTCCGCATGAGGGCGCACTGTATAGCGTGCTGGTGGGGTTCGATGAAGCCCGGCATCAGGGTCTGTTGGTTCAGGAAGATGACCTGGGTGTCGGGTCCGGCGTGACGGAAGACCACATCGATGGAGCCCACGGCCAGGATGGTGTCCCCGCTGATCGCTACGGCCTCGGTCTTTGGCGGGGAGTCGGCATCGCGGGACCCCGGGTTGGCCTCGCTCCCCTCCATGGTGATGATGTCGCCCCCGTACAGGATGAGGTCGGCTGGCATGGCCGAGCCTTTGTTTGTTGCAAAAAAAATGATACCCAAACCATCATCTTAAAGACAGTGTTACAACGAACGTTGCTGGATTTTTCCTTCACGTTAATTCTTTCTGCACTCAGATTTGACCGGGAATTCCGGTCCTATTTAGCCTGACACTCTAGGCAGAGAAAACAAGTGTGTGTTTACGGTAACGCCTTCAAATTACCTAAAGTAGGTAAGGAATTCTTTCATTTTGTAACTTTTTCATGTTTCTGTTGGTCCATTTTACTTATTTTGTTTACTTGTTTTGGGGTACCTTTACAGGTAATGATTATACAACATTTGCTTTTGCGGTAATTTTCAGAAATCGATGGATATGGGGTTTATAGTATTTCATGGCAAAATGTTGTTTCACTGACCTGTTAAAAGTTTGTGTTTATAGATGACGTAAAATCCCCCCCCCAAAAAAAAAAGTTCTCAACTTCTTGTAGTCTGGCTCCCTGACCCTACTTGAGACGAAACGGAGCAGTTTATAGACGTTTTGGAATTGTCTAGTCAGGGAACCAGATTAGCTGGCTTGCACCAGTTCACGGATGTGTAAGCGATTGCAAACAAAATGTGGACTAAATAAATTGGGGGGCAATATTCGAAAAATGGCGGGGTTTTTTTCTTACGATGGTCGACAGCACACCAGGTGCCATGATTTTACAGGATGCTTGAGACTATTATTCACTTACAGTCTAGCAGGGTATTTCATAATGATTTGGTAGTTTTGTTTTTTGATGTTTGCAAATGTTGTATATTGCTTTTAACGGTATGATGTTTTATTAACCTGATTTATTGTTTAGGCCTAACCAATGACACACAAAACCGTCGCATAGGGAAGACTTTTTATTTTCAAAATAAAGTTAATTTTAAATGTTTGGCCAAATGTGGCAATAAAACATTTTGAGGTTGGTAAAATGGCCTTAAAAATCAGCTAGGTTGGGTTTTATACCATGGAGCAGGTTTAAGGATGATTTAGAGTACCGTGTTGGTTCAGGGACCCTGTTTCAAACAATAAATTATTGACAAATTCTGATTTGACCTGCGCCGCCGGCTTACAATTCAATGTTTATGTCAACATTATGCCAAGCCCCTTAGTTAAATAAACCAACTTGAACTACAACCACTAAAAACTGGAACACATACGTGTGTGCCTTTGGGGGTTGCCGAGCTCTGCCAATTATTTGTCTCACTTATGTGTGCATTTAAAGTAAATGATTTACCGGGACTTAAATCGTGGAGATTTAGGGTACGGTCTTTGTGACTCTACTAGCGCGCTTGGACTTGCGGGTACACGGCTCTGAGAAAAGTTTACTGTTGTTGATGGACATAAAAGGTTGACCGAAACGTCGAATTGATACCTCTGGTTCTTATCTTAACGGAATAGGATCATTGTGTATTTATCCCAAAAGTAACCTACCTAATTATTATCAAAACGTTTACTTGCATTGAAGATCTTCCTGGTACTAAACAACTCGTGAAATTAGAAGAAATGTAGAAATGTGGGTGATTTCCAACGATCAGTCATCGTGTTTACTGATCGAAGGGTTGTGCATGGTTTTTACTGTTTTCTTACAAAGTGTAATATCCACTGAGCTAAAACTTAAGCAGGGTAGGTTTTGAACATTCTTCTTTGGATTCTTAGTGGTGTTATTAGTGGAAACGATTAATATACGTGAAAAGCAAATGATCCTATATATGCCTTTAAATCGCTCCTGTTGGTTTTACTTCACTTGGCCTATCCGCAAACCTCTTCCAGGTTGCACTCAATTCGCATGTAACATTCCATGTTGCATAGGCTACATGGCTCATTGCGCTCAATGGTTGACGTCAGGTTGACGTAGCGGTTCTTTCCTCGCCTTCCACCGCGCGCTGTGACCCGGGCTCGAATCCCGCCTGGGCCAGTATGTGGCTTGGGTTCTCAGTCCCTACCTGATTCTGTGGGTTTTCCCCAGAATATATTCTGGGTTTTTCCTCGCACCTCTAAAACTGTAATTTCTTCTCATTGTCTTCTCTCTAAGTTGGTGTGATGTTTCCCCTGGGATGCTTTAATAAACACATACAGATACAATGTATATAACTCATGAAAAAAAGTTCCGAAGAAACTAGTAAGGAAACCCCTTGTGATTGGCTACCAATGCTTTAACGTCACATCGACAGGTGCCTACCTTTGGACATCCTGGATTTCGCTGTGAGCTGAGCTCTCTGCATGGTGACAGCGTTCTCTGGCAAAGTTTAGACAACAAACGACGCAAACAGACGGTGGGCCGTGTATGTAGGGTTTGTAGCAAGCGGCTCGCGACCAAGTTTCAACGAAGAAACCACAGTTGCAAGTGAGCTGTGCCTGAAGGGTAGCCCCGGGTTTTAAGCTCTCGCATCTGGCCCGTGGGTGGGGCAAAAGGGTACCGCAGTGGCGCCTAAACCGGCGCTTCTTGCCATTACAATTATGAAACAAACACCCATAGGAAAGGATTTATCACATTCGTACCTATGTGACTTATTTAATTTTTCAAATCTGGCAATATTTCATCGTGATATTTTTTCACTTAAAATGTTAATGTGCCAATGATATACATCATGTTATTTTACTAACAAACCCTTTTCGAACATTCTTTGTATTTGTTCCACCTTATTTTGAACAAGGGGGTAACAGCAAAAAGAGGATTAGGCCTGCCAGTATTTTGGCGGTGGTTGGGCCCAATAAAGCGCCCAAGGCTTACGACGTACCTGGACAAAACAAATCGCCAGATTTATTACAATGTCCTGGGGATTTATTTTTCAATTTTAAGTTTAGTTTACAAAAGCTGTTTTACGCAATAGCACTTGCCGGTGATCCTGTTATTATATGCCCCTGTGCACTTGGTACAGCGTGTGTCAATAAAAACGCAGGATTCAAAGCGATTTTTGTCTGATAAAATTATGCTACTGGTGTGCCAAATTTGATAAGGATTTGATTGTCCATAATTTCATCTTTGACAAGATTTTTGTTTGGTGGAATTTGGACTTTTGGTTCAAAAGTTATGACAAGTTTTGTGAAGCCCTTCTGAAGCGGGTTGGTCTGATTCAATGACGTGCGACGTACGACGTACCTGGACAAAACAAATCGCCAGATTCGTTACAATGTCCATGGGATTTTTTTCAAGTTTAAGTTTAGTTTACAAAAGCTGTTTTAACGCAACAGCACTTGCCGGTGATCCTGTTATTATATGCCCCTTTGCACTTGGTAGTACGGTGTTCCCTAAAGAGCGAATCTAGGTGCACAATTTACCGTTGTTACCATCCGCCATCGTGCGATTTCCACGGCAATAAAAGGACTCCATAGCACTTCACAGGAAATCGGTTAGACACCCACAGACATCCATATATATATATGATTGATCCAACAGTGATCAATAGTCTGCATCGCGTGTGTATCATAATTTATGACAGACGCGACAGTGTTTTCATGATTTTCTTTACCATTTGTTCCCACTTCACATGCATGGTTGACTTTTGAAATCGATTCCCGATTGTGGTCTTTCAACTGACCTCCTTTTTTGAAGCTATCAGCTTTCCTTGCCCTTCGTTTCTTTTTCTTTAATCCAAACGAAAAATTTTGGTAAATCAACGCTCCATGCATGACCAAATAAAACTCGGGAAATTCCAAGGGAAAAGAACCGTCAAACCAGTTAAACAAGAACATGAAATAAATCTTCGCATTTAAACGTGTTGTTGTACGAATATCCATGCCTCGATATATATGAACTATAATAACCCAAGAAACCATGCACTTAGACGCACCTATTGCCTTGCTTGAATTCTAGATGCATGCTCTGTGGTGCGATCTGAGGCTATTTCTGACTACTTTGTCCAATCTTTTGGAGGAAAACGACGCTGGTGTACGCAGTGCCTGCCTTTATTGCGACGCCACTGTAAAAATAAGATGGTTTCGTTTGGGAGGGGGGCATGGCCCCGTTGCCCCCCCCCCCCCCATCCGCCCTTGTTGCACAACACATTGCGTGCGAAAGACGAGTGAGGCCAACCTCGTCCCCAGTGCTTACTTTATTTCCAACCGCGTTTCCAATAGTAAACCCTGGATAGGAAACTTTCTTCCTGTAACCTGATTGGATATCGCAATTGGCTAGTAATGGATTTTTATCGTGTACTTGGTGCTATATATTCACAACGTGCAGTACGTGTTTTCGCGATCATTCGTCCACGCCTTCTCGAAAATACTAATTTCCTTTCCCAATTTGCTCATATTAATATGAAATATGATACTGCATGTTGTCTTGATAAGATCGTAACAGTTTGATTTCAAAAATCGTGTTTTCGTAACTCACGCCGTGCTCGCGCTGCTACGAATTGACTCTGTTTTTACCCCAGACACCGCATACAAAAACAAACGCTAACGTGTAACGCATATCCAGGCACCAGACTGTTCCTCATTTGCATACGTGTGCAAAAATTTTGCACATGCAAATGATCCAATACCAGGGTGAGAGAGCAGGTAGTGGTGGGCGCGTACTGCTCGACACCCTGGGGACGAGGTTGGAGTGAGGCGGCTTTGTATCCGCACTTCACTGTCAGTGTCAGTGTACTTTGTTACAAAAACCTGCCGTATAAGTGAGTTGAGTTGGATCCATGATACCGATGCGCACATGACATTTTTCACAAACAAAACCAATTTCGAACATTCTGTGTATCTGTTCTACCTAGTTTTGAACAAGGGGGTAACAGCAAAAAGAGGAGTAGGCCTGCCAGTATTTTGGCGGTGGTTGGGCCCAATAAAGCGCCCAAGGCTTACGACGTACCTGGACAAAACAAATCGCCAGATTTATTACAATGTCCAGGGGATTTTTTTTTTCAATTTTAAGTTTAGTTTACAAAAGCTGTTTTACGCAACAACACTTGCCGGTTATCCTGTTATTATATGCCCCTGTGCACTTGGTACAGCGTGTGTCAATAAAAACGCAGGATTCAAAGCGATTTTTTCTGATAAAATTATGCTACTGGTGTGCCTAATTTGATAAGGATTTGTTTGTCCATAATTTCATCTTTGACAAGATTTTTGTTTGGTGGAATTTGGACTTTTGGTTCAAAAGTTATGACAAGTTTTGTGAAGCCCTTCTGAAGCGGGTTGGTCTGATTCAATGACCTTAACACATCGACCAGTTATGTACAATGCAGGTATGCATTGAAGACAATTAAACCAGAACAAAACTTTCTTTAAAACAACTGATGATAAGTATCACTTAAATTTAATAACTGGACTATCATTGTTTCAAAGCATCGTGAATTATTGACTAATAACATTGATTGTGGACTAAAGGATTATGTAAGCCTAATCCTGCCACACATGTCACTTTCACCTGTACTGAATTCAAACCTTTCATTAGGTAAGTGTGATTTCACAAATCAGACCAGCTTGGAATTTATAACCCTTCTTCAATGTACTCTATTTCTGGACAGGATTGTCCAAATGATATGGGATAAAAAGCATAGTGAAGAGAAGGAAAGGTACTTTGAAAAGAAGGTTAACATTATGATGAATAGGGGTGGTTTATATTCTTAATATTTTTGTTTCTAATCCTGCGTTTTTATTGGCACACGCCGTAGTACGGTGTTCCCTAAAGAGCGAATGTAGGTGCACAATTTACCGTCGTTTCCACCCGCCATCGTGCGATTTCCACGGCAATAAAAGGACTCCATAGCACTTCACAGGAAATCGGTGAGACACCCACAAACATCCATATATATATGTGATTGATCCAACAGTGATCAATAGTCTGCATCGCGTGTGTATCAGATGCGACAGTATTGTCATGATTTTCTTTACCATTTGTTCCCACTTCACATGCATGGTTGACTTTTGAAATTGAATCCCGCGATTGTGGTCTTTCAACTGGCCGCCGATCAGCTTTGCTTGCCCTTCGTTTCTTTTTCTTTAATCCAAACACAAAACTTTGGTAAATGAACGCCCCATGCATGACCAAATAAAACTCGGGAAGTTTGAAGGGAAAAGAACCGTCAAACCAGTTAAACAAGGACATGAAATAAATCTTCGCATTTAAACGTGGTGTTGTGCGAATATCCATGCCTCGATATATATGAACTATAATAACCCAAGAAACCATGCACTTAGACGCACCTATTGCCTTGCTTGAATTCTAGATGCATGCTCTGTGGTGCGATCTGAGGCTATATCTGACTACTTTGTCCAATCCTTTGGAGGAAAAAGACGGTGGTGTACGCAGTGCCTGCCTTTATTGCGACGCCACTTTAAAAAATGAGATGTTTTCGTTTGGGAGGGGGCATGGCCCCGTTGGCCCCCCCCCCCCATCCGCCCTTGTTGCACAACACATTGCGTGCGAAAGACGAGTGAGGCGGCTTTGTATCCGCACTTCACTGTCAGTGTCAGTGTACTTTGTTACAAAAACCTGCCGTATAATAGCCTTGGTCAATGCTCTCGTGGTTATTCGTCCCGTACGAGGTCAATCGTCGGCATATATCCTCACGCGCTATGCACATGCATGTAAAATTACAGCGCGAACAGCGACCTCACGCGGCCACTATTTTTATATGCAAATCAGTTGAGGACGAGCTCGAGCCTTGGTTCAATCGTCCATGTGAGGTTTTGGGGGTGGTGGTGCTCATTATGTTAATAGCCTTAGCTGACCTTAAATGTCGTTTTCTTATTGGTCGATCGTTGCGTGGAAACTTGCATAGTGAATTATGAAACGTGGCACCGTACATAATCCATACACGAACACGTTGTGTGTCTCTGCACACGGCACCAATGCACAAAAACTGTGGTTACTGTCACGTCCGCAAAAGGCGAATAGCTGCAAATAATTTGATGACGTCCGGATTTACCAAGGTGTGATTGGACACTCCACATATTAGCCCCGCCTACACTTATCTGTATTCGCATACGAGGTCGTGCGCTAGAAATCCAGCGCAAAATAAAGAAAAACATAAGCTTTTGCCGACGATTGAACCAAGGCTCGAGATCGTCCTCAACTGATTTGCATATAAAAAATAGTGGCCGCGTGAGGTCGCTGTTTGCGCTGTAATTTTACATGCATATGCATAGCGCATGAGGATATATGCCGACGATTGACCGCGTACGGGACGAATTACGACGAGAGCATTGACCAAGGCTAGCCGTATAAGTGAGTTGAGTTGGATCCATGATACCGATGCCCACATGACATTTTTCACAAACAAAACCAATTTCGAACATTCTGTGTATCTGTTCTACCTAGTTTTGAACAAGGGGGTAACAGCAAAAAGAGGATTAGGCCTGCCAGTATTTTGGCGGTGGTTGGGCCCAATAAAGCGCCCAAGGCTTACGACGTACCTGGGCAAAACAAAATTTTAAGTTTAGTTTACAAAAGCTGTTTTACGCAACAGCACTTGCCGGTGATCCTGTTATTATATGCCCCTGTGCACTTGGTACAGCGTGTGTCAATAAAAACGCAGGATTCATAGCGATTTTTGC